TTTCTTTCTTTCTTTCTTCCCTCCTTCCTTCCTTCCTTTCTTTCAAGGTGGGGAGGGGCAGAGAGAGAGGGAGAGAGACAGAATCTTAAGCAGGCTCCATGCCCAGAAAGGAGCCCGACACGGGGCTCGGATCTCAGGACCCTGAGGTCGTGACCTGAGCTGACGTCAAGAGTTGGACGCCTAACCGCCTGAGCCCCGCAGGTGCCCCTCTGTTGCTATCTTTCTTTTTTTTTTTTTTAAAGATTTTATTTATTTATTTGAGAGAGAGAATGAGAGATAGAGAGCACGAGAGGGAAGAGGGTCAGAGGGAGAAGCAGACTCCCCGCCGAGCAGGGAGCCCGATGCGGGACTCGATCCCAGGACTCCAGGATCATGACCTGAGCCGAAGGCAGTTGCTTAACCAACTGAGCCACCCAGGCGCCCTGTTGCTATCTTTCTAACACAGAATGCAATCCTGTCAATCCCTGATCCAGAAGCCCACAGAAGCTCCCCCCGAGTTTCCAGGACAACACGTGCCCCCCCTTCCACCTCCCTGAGCCCCCCCAAACCTTACAACTCCACACACCTTTTGAGTCCCCCCAACTACCAATGATGGCGGGTATCTTGTTTCAAGACTTCTAGAAGCTTCGTCCAAGAGCTTTTTGCGCTTAAGCCCCCCGCTCCGCGCCCCTCCCCCACCTGGCTGCGTTCCGCTCTTCCTTCAGAGTCCGGCTGGGTAACCTCACGTGGGAGACTCATCACGATGTCTACAGCCGTGACGTCCGCATGGCGGAACGGCGGGCAAGTTCGATGTTCTTCTTGACCCTTCTCTGTGGTGTCTAGAACTCCCACAGTGAGCATGTTTCCCTTTTATAATGGGGGGGGCGGCTGAAGAATTATAATGAACAAAAACAAAGACCCAGTCCAAGGGTCACACCTCCTGGAATCCGCTGCCCTCCTCCCAGCTGGGTTGGGTCCCCTGCTCTGGGTTTCTGCAGGCTCTGTGACTTCCCTTTATCTTCCCACATACCAGCTTCATCAGTGAGCTCTGCCCAGTGGCGGGGCCTGGCCCTCCCTGGCAGGACTTTGGGTGGGCACCCACCGCAAGGGAGTGCCCTGGTGGGGTCCACCCCCTCGCTCCATTCTCCTACACCCATCCAGGGACAAGGACCAGAACCCCCACTCTGCCTCATTGGTCCTACCACCATCTCCACCCCATCCCGACGCCTTTCTTTGAGGGCAGAGGAGGGTATAAAGGGAGAAACTGAGTCTCCAGCTGTCGTAGGCCACACCCTCAAACGAGCTACGAAGTTGGAGAAACTTGCGTTTTCAAACCAGCTGAAGGAGAGGTGACTGCTCTACCAATGGCAGTTAATACCCATGAAGCGTCTACGTTTCTGGGACCAAACATTTGACATTCTGCACTCGGTTGTGTCCCCGCGTGGCCACGGTGCACCCAGGGTCCAGAGTCTGGAGGCTTTAGAACAGAATGCAGGCAGGCTGTGGATATGGCCCCCAAGGCAAGCCACATCCGTATGCATCTTTGTAATTCGGAGGTGTTGAAAGATGTGACAGCCGGTCTGATAGCAGAGTTCCGAGGGCATCAGCGCTAAAAGCTTCATAATACACACTCTCTGTTCAAAGGTTGCCTTCCAACGCCTGCTACACGCTTTTCCCTAATCAGCCACTTGGCCACGCGCCGCTGTGTTTGATGCGCGGGTCCTTGGAGGACGCCCCTGTTTTTCGGTGGCATCCTGGGATTCATGCTCAGGAAAATGGCCGGAGCCCTGTAATAAAGCCAGCAGCCCCACATTTGTGGCTTCCCAGCAGCCCTTCAGATGGGCCTTAAAGCAAAAAAAAAAAAAAAAAAAAAAAAGGCATGGCTCTGAGAGATGCCATAATTAAATTGGAGGGCAAAACCCCACGCCTAAAATAAAGACCGTGGGAACTGCTTTCTTCTGTAGCTGGAGAATCAAAGTGCTTTCTTTTAAAATCGACCTAAGGGGAGATGGATACTTTTGATCAGCACGTCTGGACTCTCACACACCCTTGGCTGTCGATGCTGATGCTGGTGGCCACAGAGGGGATTGAGTTCCAGGCAGAGTGAAGAGCTGGGGCCAAGGCCTGGGCCAGGTGGGTCAGAGGGGCCGCGAGGAGGCCGGGGCAGCTGCGGAGAGCGGGGAGGGAGGGCGTGCCGGATGCCGGGGGCGGGGGATGTCATCGCTGCAGTGAAGGAGGGGCGCTGGCTGGCCCTTTGGGCACTCGGCTGGTGCTGCCGCAGGACCAGTCTATACACAGGACCACTCACTTCTGCTCACTCACTTCTGCTCTGGGAGCCACAGGCTCTCCTTGAGCTGGACATCAGTAGCTGTCCCCCTTAAGCAGCAGGGTCAGTTCTGGTGAGGACCTTTGTCCCCAGATCCCATAGGCTGCCTGATGTGTCTGCCTATTTGATGACCCAAATCTAGAGAAATGGCCTCTGAATGTTTAGCTCCCTTTAAAGGGGCACAGCTTTTGTTTGAGATATGTTTTCATTTTCCTGCTCTCAGATTTTTTTTTTTTATTAAAGATTTTTATTTATTTATTCATGAGAGACAGAGGGAGAGAGAAGCAGGCCCCCAAGGAGCAGGGAGCCCGATGCGGGACTCGATCCCAGGACCCTGGAATCATGACCTGAGCCGAAGGCAGACGCTTAACCATCTGAGCCACCCAGGCGCCCTCCTGCTCTCAGATTTTAAATGGCGGCATAGGGCAGCGATGAAGAGTGTGGAGTTAAGGACCCTAAGGGACCCTGCTTAAAATCCCATCCCCGCCACTGACTAGCTGTGCTGCTGGGCAAATCTCTTCCTTTCTCAGAGCCTCTGGTTTCTCCTCTGCAAAAGGGGAGGGTGCCCCCCCCCAGGGACAGTAGCGTTTTTATCATCATGCAGCTTAACAGCAATGCCTGAGTCTCTGTGCAGGGCAGGGGGAGTCCTGCAGACCGAGAGGGTGACTCCCCAGTCCTGGGAGAGGAAGGGAACAGGAGGGCATTCTGAGCAGGGGCAATAGCATGACCAAAAGCTCGAGGGCGCCGCAGGCCTGGCGTCTGTGGGGGAGGGAGTGGAGGGCAGTTGAGCTGAGCTGGTGGGGCCCGGAGGCATGGCCTGGATCCTCCAATACAGGGACTTGCAATTTTTTTTTTTTTAAAGGTGACCCAAGGGCGCCTGGGTGGCTCAGTCGGTTAAGCGACTGCCTTCGGCTCAGGTCATGATCCTGGAGTCCCGGGATCGAGTCCCGCATCGGGCTCCCCGCTCAGCGGGGAGTCTGCTTCTCCCTCCGACCCTCCCCCTCTCATGTGGTCTCTCTCTCTCTCTCTCATTCTCGCTCTCTCAAATAAATAAATAAAAATCTTTAAAAAAATAAAGGTGACCCAAAGTTAAGGAATGCACGTTATAGCACGACCCTGTCTGAACCCAGCTGTATGAGTATAACTGAAACCAGGTCACAAAAAGCGCCCTTATTACTCACAAAATGCTCCATGGTTCTATGTTTTTAAACTGCTTGTCCTCACCACGTAAATTGATTTCAGCCTCCTTCCTGCGTCCCCTCTGCTGGGGCACCCCAGCAGGGTCAGCAAGATGGTTTGTGGTTTCCTCGGGAAGCAGCGGAGCCAGGCAGCTTTCTGGCGGGGTGGGGGCGCAGGGAGAGGAGCCCAGATTCTGGAACTGTCAGGTGGATGTGGGGTGCTTTGTGTAGGGGGTGTGGGGGACAGATAGGGTGGGCATCCTTCCTACATCCAGGCAAGTCTTTGATTGTGAATCCCTCGCCCCAGGGACTTGGCATGGGGTCCCTGGGCCAGGGTGGGAGTGGGGCCCCTCCAACCAGCTCTCAAGATTAAAGTTCAAGTGGCCACAGATTCAAAAGGAGAACTGAAAAAAGAAGGATCTGATGCCAGTGGGCAGTGGACAAAATCTTTCCCAACAAGGGCAACAGATAAGCAGGAAGGGGAGAGGGCAGGAGGAGGCTTCTGGGGGGGGCAGGTTCTCCGTGCCTGCACACACCGGACACCTGGCAGGGGAGCCTGGTGCACCAGGCCCGGGGTCTGCACCCCAGGGGGTCCCCCACTCCCCTGTGGCCAGGCCAGGGCCCAAGGTGGTAGAGAGGCTGTCATGTGTGGAGGCCACCCCATGCCACGTGTGCCCTGCCCTGTGGGCCTGGTACTTTCTAGGCAGAAGGCTCAGGATGGCATTTGCCTTTCTAGACTCAGCGAGGACTCAGGGCTCCTCTGACTTCCTTGCCTCTTTCTTGTCGCTGCGGAAAGGCAGCCTGGCCCTGTGGCTGCCTCAGAATGTTCCAGCCCCATTTCATCCCATGACCACCCTGTCAGGTTGGCATTGTTGCTCTCCTGTTTTTTAGGGGAGACACCAAGCTTCAGAGAGAGAAAGCCACCTGCCCAAGTTTGCACAGCCTTTGGGTGGCAGAACCAGGGTCCAAACCCAGGCCTGATGCCTCAAGAAACTAGGTTTTCCCCAGGCACCCCCTGACCCCATATTCCTGGCAGGGTCCCAGGCTTCTTAGCAGTCTTTGGAGCTGCTGAGAAGTGAGGGATGGAGGACGCGCCTGTAAAGCCGTGTCACCTGAGCTGCCCAGTGGCGCTCTCTGTGCTTGCGGGGGGGCAAGTGGGGGGGGTGGGTGCTCGAGGATGCCTTATGAGTAACCAAGCTCTGGGGCAGGGCTGGGCTGGGTTGGGGGCCCGGGGGAGCAGGTTCCTCTCAGGCATCATGCTACAACTTGTTCCCGATCCCATCTCGGGCTGGCCCTGCTCCTCGCCCTCCTCCCTCCATGGACCTGACCCTCCAGGCAGGGGTGCCCCCTTCTCTGCTCTGCACCATCCACATTGGCGCAGGCTCACACTTCTCCCAACCTCCCCCTGGAACTGCCCTTCACAGTTCTTCTCTCCTTCTCCGACCTGCACCGGAAAGAGTGGTGTGCTCGGGCAGGTGGGAGATCCGGCCGTCCTCTCTCTCATCCCTCCTTGACCTGCCCCATCTCTGCTCTCACGGGACATGGCCGCCTCCAGGCCCTTCTCCCTCTCAGGCAGGGAGCTCTGCGAATTGAATGAATCCATCTCCCTGCAGTGAACAAACCAGGCTCCTGGCCACACTTTCCTCCCTGTGCCCGCCCTGCCCTAGGCCGCGCCGAGGACTCACCCGCCTCCTGGGGAATTATCCGAAGAGCAACTTTGTGTTGCTCCTGCGGCCCTTTAGGCCTTTGGTCTCGGGGACACGTCCGCCGGCACCTGGAGGGAAAGCCAAGCCAGCCTGAGCTCTTCCGGCGCCTCTGCCCTATGGTCACTCACAGTCAAAACCAAGCCCTGGTTCTTCATATCACCAACCAGAGTGACAGCCAAAAGGCTGAACTTGATGCACGCTGGAGGTGGTGTCTGGGACCTGTATGAGAATAAGGGGTGAGGGCCCTCTTCCCTTCTTCCCCCCAGGCTCCCTGGTGGTCCTTCCCCATGTGTCAGCTGGGTGGAGAGCGACAGGGAAGGAGCAGGAAGAAGGCAAAAGAGCCCTGCTGGTCAGGGGCTGTGGATAGCTGGCCCTGTGCCCCGGGCACTCGCAGGGTTTGTAGTGGACCCCCTCGGGCACTTCCATGGGTCACTGGGGTGTGCCAGCTGGCCTCTCATGGCTCTCCCTCCCTCCCTCCTCAGCCCCAGGAATCCGAGCCCCCCCTCCCCGCCTCACTCCTCCTCCCTGGGCTCTGTGCCCCTCTTGGCGGCCCTTGAGCAGAATCTAAGAGGATCCCCTGGCCGGCTCCCTCTGCCCCGGCCCACCTTGTTCCACAGGAGACCTGCTCCCTTGGCTTGAACAAGGGACAAATGGTGATACAGCCGCCACCAGGTGCAAGATGGACACCAGCCACTGTGCCATCCCCGTGCACTCAGGGGGCATGCCCCAAGCTTTGGGAGGGTCCCGCTGGAGCCCCTCTGAGCCTGGGGTGAGAAGCAGGTGCCCGAAGGGCAGTTCGGGTGCCCCTGCAGCCCTCTTCAAGCCTCTCTGCACCCCTGGTCTCTGTCATGCAGCCACCTGGCCTACAACTGGGATAAGCTGTGACTTGTGCCGGGAATCTGATGAACCCCTGTCCTCAGCATCTGATGTCTGCTGTGCTGTGGGCCATGGTGAACACTCCCTGCCCTGTGTCGGGCCATGCTCCACTGTGTCCCTGACCCCACTGCTCAGCCCGGGGGGCTGGTGTCACATCCTCGGCACCGACAAGCCTGGGCTCAAATCCCGCTCCACCACTTAGGAACTCTGTGGCTTTGGGCCTCTAAGACCCCCTCGGGGCTTGTCTGCACAGTGGGACTGCTAATGTTGTCTCAAAGGATTGTCGTGGTGTTCAGTTGACATGGGCCTGTGTCATGCCCAGCCAGAGTATGCCTTCTATATCTTTCCTTGCCCTTGTGTCCTTGGGCTATTTCTAACCTGCTGTCCATGTGTGTTCCTGCTTTCAGTTCACTGATGACCTCCAGACCTCCAGGTCACCAGCGTGTCGCTCCCCCACACCCCTAGATAGGCTTAGTGGTTCCCTCCCACCAGCCCTCCCAGCCCTGGCTCCCTCTGCTTCCCTGTTGCCAGGCAGGGAGCCCCTCCAGGCCGGGGGTGGGACCTGTGACCTAACTGGTATCCCTTAAATGTTTGTGGGAGTAAACAAATGGTAGCCGCAAGCAATTTGTGGACACAGGAATTACTATGAATCTCTCTATAGCACTGAACCCTCATGGGGGGGGGTACTTAGCAGTCAGCTGGACCAGCCTGCACCCCAGAAGGGGCGTGCACTGAACCCTCATGGGGGGGGTACTTAGCAGTCAGCTGGACCAGCCTGCACCTCAGAAGGGGCGTCTTGGAGGGACGGTCCAGGACGGGGGTGGGAGCTAGGCTACGGTGGTCCAGGCTCTGGGGTGCTAACACCCCCGAAAAAGAAGGGGCAGTGGCGGCCATAGGATGCACCATCGGGCCAGAACCAGTCTCCTTCTCGGCAATGGCAGGCCTCCTCCTCCTTGCTTTTCACCTGCTGCCCCCAGACTGGCTGCCCTTCCCCCATCGACAGAGACTGCCTCCCTCCTCCCTCGGACTGTGGTTTCTCCCGAGGTCTGAGGCTGTCCTCTAGGGCAGACCCAAGCTGGGGCCGTGCATGGTCACGATCCTAACCCTCTGACCTTAAAATCACGAATCCTGGAAGCATACAGAACGACAGTCATCCGTTTTTAAAGATTTCCCCCAAATTGTGAAGATAGGCTTAATCACACTAACACATTCCATCATTTTCTAGAAGGATACCTCAAATGCAGAAAATTTTTTGAGACAAATGGATGGATGGCTTCCTGCCAGGACAAACAGCCTTATAGTATGGCCAGTGTGCCCAGTCTCCCCGGGCCTCTCAGACACACCAAGAAGAGAAGCAGGATGCCCCCCCCGGGGGGGGGGCGGGGCGGGGGGGGGGGCGAGAAGAGCCTTCTGTGCCAGCCCTGGTGTGGTCACTTTCCTGGTGGTTTTGTCAGGTTCCCACCTCCCGACCCCCAGCAGGGAACACTGGCTGCCTGGAGAGCCAAACAGGAGAATGTGGCTCGAAGTCAGAGTGGGTCCTGAGCTGAGTCTGGAGGACTAGGTAGGAGTCCCAGGCAGAGGGGCCTGCAGGGGTGGATGCAGCACGCAGGAAGTGGCCCTTTGGGGAGGGGGGAAGGACTGCAGCGTGGCCTTGCCGGGGAGGGCAAATCAGGTCCTTCTCAGCCCTCGGCCCCTTCTCCTTCCCTGGGATCACGCAATGACCCCTTCCTCCACCCGCTGCACCCCTGCCCTGGCTGCCGCGTCTCAGGCAAGCTTCAGCCCTGAATCAGTGCTCCTTGTTTTTAGGAAAGTATGAACATAATGTTGTAGTCAAGCCACAACGACCACCCTGCAGTCGCGCCCAGAGACATCAGGGACCTGTGAAATCCTTCCCGCCCCACTCAGCAGAGGAAAGCCCTGGGTCCCAGCCCAGGGGCTCCTCCAGGTGTGAGCATCGTCATATTCACGCAGGACAACGAAGCCGGTCCGCTGGGACATCCAGCCCATTCCCTGGAAATGTCACTGCTCTTCCTTCTTTGGAGGAGGGGCGATCTCTTTAGTTACTCAACAGGAAGCTCAAAATACCAGTGTGGCCGGAGCTTCAGGGGACTGACTGGTTTAGAGGGCCACCTCTGCTCTGTCCCCAAGTCTTCCAGAGGCCTGGCCTCGCCTCCCCTGGGGACCCAGTGCAGGGCTCAGCGGAAGAGCCCAGAGATGAGTCCAGCCTGGCCTCACACCAGGCCTGCACCCCGGGCAGGGGGCCCTCGATTTCCCCAACGAAATAAATCTGGCAGCTCCCTCTGAGTAACTCAAATGCGTGATCTTCTCCCGATTAACAGCCTGGCCGGCATGTTCTTGGCTGCTTGCTGCCGACCTCAATTTAGAACAGTTCGGCTGCTGGAGAAGGAAGGTGCTAGGGGACGAGGCATATTGAAGCTGAGGGGGCTTGTGTGCCTCCGGGAGCCTGCCGGAGGGTGGGAGGCCCAGCCGGGCAGGTGCCACTGTTTTCCTAGGAGACTGTGATGAGGAGGGGTGTCCAGGTGTCCAGGAGGGAGGAGGCTCCCCCAGGTACCTGCCTTTGTAACAGTCATCGAACGTCCTGGTCGTGGCTGCGCGTGGGGCATTGCTCGTTACAGTCTACAAAAACTTGACAAATTCTTCTCCAAGCTCTGGTTCAGGGCAAGGCTTGTCTCTCCTGATGCCTGGCATGCCTCCTCCTTCAGGCTGGGGGGAGCCATGGCTCCCCTCTGTGTGTCCACTGCCAAGAAGTTCTTCTTCCTGCCAGGAAGCGTTTCTTTATCTTGTCTCCTGCCTCCTTCCTCTTCTCATCCTTCAGCAGCTTTGGGTCTTCTCAAACTGGGGCTTTTATCCAATGTGGCTTCTTGGCCTTTGAGCAGGAGAGTGGTTAGGACTGTGGGGTCTGGAGTCCGCCCGCCTTGGGCGGGGTTGTAGCTCGACTCCGTCCCTGCTGAGAGAGTGAAAGCTAGCAGCTTGACCTGCCTGACCCTCGGGTTCTTCCTCTCTGTGAAGTGGAGCTCTTACACACTTTGCCTTGGGTGTGTTGGGGGATGGAGAGTTCTATGTGTAAAGCACTTGGCACAACGCCCGCACACCGTGACTGCATGAAAGGTGTGAGTGTGAGCCGAGGTCCTTGGGAGGAGGTAGAAAGGACTGAAGCGACCCGGAGGGTAAGCTCCCACTCTTTCCTTTTTCTTCCCCTGCAGGAGGGCAGATGGTGAAGGTCGTGAACCACACTGGTGCGCCCATTTTGGTCTCTCTGGCCAACAAGGCCATTTCCTTCGACTGCAGAATCACCTACGCAGACAGGGCCAGATTCGAGAACTTCACAGCCTCGTACTTTTATATGGACCTCCAGAACCGGAAGAGCACCAGCGAGCGGATTAAGTGCCTACCCGACCTGGGCAAAGAGAACGAGGAGCATGCTCTGAAATGTGGGGTCACCCCCAAGCTGCCCAATGCATCGGCCACGGGTACCTACTATTGCTCCGTGGAGTGGCCCGAGTTCCATAAAATCAGCGAAGGCATCTTCATCCTGGTCAGAGGTGAGGCTTCCTGCAGGACCCAGAGGTTTCACACAGCAGAATTTGGGGCCTAGGATATAAGAGGGGAATAGGAGCACCTGGGTGGCTCCTGGGTGGCTCAGTCGTTAAGTGTCTGCCTTCGGCTCAGGTCATGATCCCAGGGTCCTGGGATCGAGCCCCGCATCGGGCTCCCTGCTCCGCGGGAGGCCTGCTTCTCCCTCTCCCACTCCCCCTGCTTGTGTTCCCTCTCTCGCTGTCAAATAAATAAATAAAATCTTTAAAAATAAATAAATAAAGCGGGTCATATCTGCCTCATCTATCAGATTTGGCAAAACACAAGTGTCCTCAGGGCGCCCCTGGCTGCACAGGTTTGCTGACATCTACCTTGATTTGGGAAGGGCAGAAGCCTGGGATGCAGATATGTCTCTGGCCACGTCTGGCAGGTGCCTGAGAGAAGTCTCTGGCACTTCTCTCTGGCACCTTGTGTGTGTGCGTGTGTGTGGGTTGGGGGGGGGTGAGTACAAAATTGGGCTCATGCACATGTGTGTCAGTGGCAGCCCTTGGCTCACGTACGTATTTCTGGGAAAGGTTCCTAGTTTCATCACATCCCCAAAGGAGTGATGACTGTAAAAAGTTAACATCGGCAAAGCCATGAGGCTGTGACCTGCCTCTGTGTTTCCCACCAGTAGGGGCTGGGATTTGGGGGCACCGTGGAGCTGGACTGGCCCGGATGTGGCTAGGGGCCCGGGCTTCATGGCAATACCCTGCCCGTCAAGGGCTTTTATGGGGATAAATGAGATCCTGCGTGCAAGGGCTGGTGTCTGGTAATAGGAAATGTTTGATAAATAACAGACACGGATGTGCCTGGCACGTGGTTGGCACTCGGCAGTTTTTTGCCAGCCAGATGGATGGAGGGAGGGAGGGAGGGAGGGAGGGATGGAGGGAGGGAGGGAGGGAGGAAGAGGTGAAAGAATGGATGGCTCAAGGGAAGGGGCCGGGCTGGGCCCTTCACCTTCCCCTGGTGCAGGCCAGCCCCCTGCTCAGCCCAGGCCAAACCCATTCCCCCACCCTCATCACACCTGCCCACGTGACCACCTTTCCACACACGGAAAACAGAAGGCCTGAGAGATGGCGCGACTCGCCCGGGGTCCCACAGGCAGCTCTCACCGGGGCCAGTTCACTCCGAGGCAGGGACACTTAAGAAGCAAAAGATGTGTTCCTTGACCTTAACAAGAATCAAGGCCTCCAACCTAGAAAGGGGCTTAGCCAAAAGCCAGTGTGGGAATGAGCACCTTGGTAGGGGTGGGGGTTTGGGGGGCTCCTTCGGGGGGGAGTGTTGTAAGTGGAGTCCTGGGTAAAGGAGATCGTAGGGATTGGGGGCCTGGGGGTTGGCGGGGTGGGGTGCGCCCCAGCCTTAATCAGGTGACTAACCCTTCTGCTTCTCTGCCCTCCTCCTAGACATAGGGTACCGAGGGCCCCCGCAGGGCTCCCAGCAGCTCCTGCTCTTTTGCTTCACTGGCATCCTGAGTGTGCTGAGCATCTTGGTCACAGCCCTGCTGCTCTGGAAGAAGGTAGGGGATGTGGATGTGCACGCCCAGCAGCGCCGCCCCTCCAGCCCATTCACTGTGGCTTCGGGTGCCTCCCAAGGAGTAGAGGGGCCGCCTGCCTGCCCTGCACGGCATCCCAGTGGGCCTCGGTGAGGGGGTCTTCCTCGTGGCCTCCCTGCACCGGGACCCCACCCTCACCCACCCCCATGCTGCTAGCTTGCCACCACCGGGTCCCTTTGGATCTTGCACGAAACCAGGGCCCGTCAGCCTTTTCCAGGCCACGGGTCCTCCTGAGTATTTCAGTGCAAGGCTCAAGCCCCGTTTCTGGCTCTTTGGATTAGGAGGCACCATCCTGGTTTTCTGGGTCCCTAGCACCCCAGATGGGAGGAGGAAGTGTTTCCTAAGAGCCACTGTCTATCAGGCACCCTGCCGCGCGCTCTCCTCCGTGTCCCACCGTAACTCTGCGAGGGACGTTTCTTTCCATTTTACGACTCTGGGAAGCGAGGCCCAGAGAGGTGGTGACTTGCCCAGGGTCACACGGCAAGCATGTGGCGGAGTCAGGGCTGGGGTGCACGTGGATGGGGCAGCTTGGTCCAAGGCTGCAATGGCACCAACACAGGGAGGGTTGTCTCCCCACTGGGCTCTTGTCACTCTCGTTGTCACCCAGCCCTGTGGGTGGTGGTTCGATGCCTGCCCTCCCTGCCAGGCAGTAAGGTGCCCTGAAGACAGAGGCCGAGGTGAGCTTGTTTCCGTGCCCTGTGCACGCCCAGGCGTAGGGGGTGCTCAGTAGATGTTTGTTGGGCAAAAGAATGCGTTACCCAGTGGGTGCCAGGTTCTGCCGGTTTCGGGGGGGGAGGGCAAAGATGGCTGTCAGGGCCCCAGGCTGCAATTTGGACCCCTCTCCTGGCTCCTTGAAAGCCTCAATCGGAACAGCCCGGGCCAGTGCTCCCCACCCTCTAGGGACCAAGAGCTCCTCTGCTCCTTGGCAGCCTTAGGGGCCGAGCCTGGGGAGCAGCTCAGCTGGCGAAGGCCCTGAGTGTGGGAAGAGGGCTCTGCACCACCATGGGGGTTCCTTGGGTCAAGAGAGGCTCAGCCCCTGCACCCAAAGGGCCGGTCCCTGTCCGCACCCAGGGAAGGGCCCCTGAGATGGGATTTCATGTGTTGACTCGTTCAACCCATACTGAGCACCTACTGATTTCTGGGCCCTGTTAAGGCCCCGGGGCTACAGCAATGACTAAAATGGATCCCCAGGAAATCCCTGCCTTCGTCAAATTTGTATTCCAGCTGAGGGGAGACAGACCATAAACAAACATATAAATAAGTAGCATAACGGATGTGATAAGTGTTGGGGGAAAATACAGCAAAACGAAGAGAGTAATGAGTGTGGGAATGAGGGAGCTTGCGGGTTTTAATAAAGAGTCAGGGAGGGCCTCCCCACACCACACCTGGAAGGAAGGGGGACGGGCAGACGTTAGGAAGGGTGTGTCCAGCAGGGGAACAGCAGGTATGGGTGCTCTGAGGCAGGAACTGCAGGGAGGCCCCAGGTGGGTGGTGCGGCCTGAGTTCAGGGAGCATTGACTGGATTTACTCTAAGTGAGCCGGGAGGCCCCGCAGGGCGTAGGAGATGTGGAACAGGATCAGATTGATCCCGATGGACCCTCCGGCAGCTGTGAGAAGCAGGGGGAGACTCTGTGAGGAGCTACTGCTTTAGTCCAGGCAGAGGTGACCGAGGCGCAGCACTTCTGGGGAAGCGGTGAGCAAGGCAGGTTAGAGGCCAAAGGTGGAGCTGGTGAGATTTGCTGAGGAGGTGATACAGTCTGCTGGAGCCCCCTGCTTACAAGGGAGCCACTCAGCCTGGGCGCCTGCAGGTCAGGACCTGCTGAGGTGAGTGTCTGGCAGACCCCTTGTGGGACCGAAGAATGGGAGAGGCAGCCCAAGGTCAGCGGGAGGAAGGACTTGCCTGAGCCACATGGCCAGTACACGGCAGGCCTGGGACTTGGACCCGGGCCTCAGTTTCCCACCTTGCCTCAGGCTGCAGACATGATCACTCTTCCAGAAAAGGCTCCAAGGTGATAAAAGAAGGTGAACATGGCCACTTGATTTGCCATAAAACTCTGGAGGCTGCCCTTCCTGCCATCTGTGAGCCGGAGCCTGGTGAGAGCCTCAGCCACCCCTCTAGTTCCTCTCCTGTGTCCCGTGATCCTCCTTGGGACGCTGCAGATGTGGGGTGTGACCCTGGAGTGACCGGTTCCTAGTTTGACTCATTCTGCTGACAAGCCGCAGAGGGAGTCCACTCTGCTCCGCCCAAGGAGCAGGCACTGCTCTGAGGTCCCGCGGGGGTCCTTGGCCCCCTGGCTCTGGCCTGGTCACGGGGACAACTGAGCAGTGAAGACAGAAGATGATGGGAAACGCTCCACTGGGCCTCCCGTGAATCCCAGGTTTAGGACAGAGACCCACCCGCCACTAGGCCCACTCTCCCTCCATCAACCAACATGTGCTGAGCACCTACTGTATGCCCAGCTTGGCTCTCATCCCCAATATATTTCTTCCCCCACCCCTGGTGCTCTGCCCATGATGGTAGCAGGTAGGGCAGCTCTTTTTTTTTTTTTTTTTTTAAGATTTTATTTATTTGAGAGAGAGAGGGAGAGAGCACAAACACGGGGAGCAGCAGAGACAGAGGGAGAAGCAGACTCCCCGCTGAGCAGGGAACCCAACATGGGGCTCGATCCCAGGACCCTGAGATCATGACCCAAGCCGAAGGCAGACACCTAACCGACTGAGCCACCCAGGCGCCCCGGTAGGACGGCTCTTGACTTGTTTGTCACTCAGCGACTACTGAGCAGCTGGTGGGACTGGGGTGTAGACACAGAGACCGTGCGTCAGGCAGGGGTGGTGAAGGACCCACGCTCGGGCTGTGGACCCCCACACCAGGCTTGTATGAGTGAAGGCACAGGTGCCTTCCGTGGGTATGAAGCATAGCAGGTGAGGGGCAGAATCGGGTCAGGTCAAGACCTTGACCCCGAGCCTTCACTTCAGCAGCTGCTCTGCAAAAACAGGATCGTAATGGCTGGATCTCGGGGTCCTGCAAGGTCAGGGAGGCACCCGGCGCAGAGTAGGTAGGTGCTCAGTAAAGTCTGGGGAGGAGGAGGGGAGGGGATAACACTCAGCCCGGCCTGGCTTCCGAGCCCAGCCGCTCCCCCTGCTGCACGGCTTCAGCGACTCCTAGCCTGTCTCCTTCCAGGAATAGCTCCTGAGTCTCTAGTGCATGCCAGGCACCGGGCTAAGTGCCAGACACAGTGGAAAGCAAGACAGATGCAGCCCCCTGCCCTCTCATCAAGCTACAGCCCTCTCTGAGCCTTGCTCGCCTCCTCCAGAAATGGGGCTAAGGATGGATTTTCACCCCTCACCTGGAAAGGCAGGGGAAGAGACAGCATTTGGGAGGCACCAGCTGGGTGCCTGACCCAGAGTGGGAGTGCAGTGCACGGACGCTTCCTGTCTTCCCTCCCTGCACATGGAGGAGGGAGGGCTGGGGCAGGAGCCTGGCCTTGAAGGAGAGAGAACTCAGAAGGCCAGAGGCCAGAGAAGTCCCCAGAGCTCCCTGGAACCGGATCCAAATTTGGGATGCGGACCCTGTGGATGCCGCTCCAGAGTTGGGCGGGCCCCGGTGGCCCTTCATTCACAGGCCAGCGTGGTGCGAACTGAATGCAGGAACAGAGCACGCAGGGGGGGCCCCCCAGCCAGTGACCAGGCCATGGGGGCCAAGACGAGAAGACCAGGGAGGAGGAGGCACGGAGGACCCTAGGAGCCCAGGCAGCTGCGGATAAATGAATGGAAGCCGGGAGCTCCTGGCCCAGAAAAGGCAGATGATTCCTGCCATGAGAGCAGGCCAGAGGGCTCCCCCCCCCCCCCCCCCCCCCCCAGCTTGGGGATGGATCAAAGTTGGCTTCCCAGAGCAGGCAGCCTCCGACTTTGATGGCTGACCCGTCCTCACCCCCTCAGGTCACCCTCCTCCCCTGCACACTTCTTCCCTTGTTTCCTGGACGCCTGGGCAGCCCTGTGCTGATCACCTGCATCTTCGCGGCCTCTGCTCATCGCACATCTCAGGCCCCTTCCTCAGAGCACTCCCCACTCTGTACACTCCCCGGTGATTGCTCTGATCCTGGGGTGACGGTCCTCACCCCTGACGCTGCCCGGGCCCCTCCTCGAGCCCCAGATCATGTCCACCGTGTGAGGCCCACGGGCATCGGCGCTCACTCTCCCTGGCACCGCTTCATAGCGTCCAAGTCTTCCCTGCCTAGGCAGATGGCGCCATGTCCCCAGATGCTCAGGCCGAAAGCCTTAGAGCTGTGCTTGGCTCCTCCGTCTTCCCCCGCAGCAAGCCCTGCACACGACCTGTCTAGGATCCAGCCCCTTCTCCCCTGGCTCATCCCCCAGCCCAGGGCTTCCCTCACTCCTCACCCAAATACAGGTCTCCCTGCTCCCACTGGTGTCCCCTCCAGCTCTGCTCCCCGCACCTGTGCTTATGTGTTTGCCACTGTTTCCCCCACTATAACTTAAGCCCCAGAGGGCAGGGGCTTAGTCTCCCCCCTTGCCAGGGGGAGCCTGACACATGCTAAATGGTTGTGGGAGGGAGGCATGGCTTAGTTAAGTGAGCGCTGAGCCTTGGAAGATGAGTCGCAGGTGGCCAGGTTGTGAGGTGGGCAAGGTGACAGTATTGCTCCCATTGTACAGAGGGGGAAATTGAGGCTCTACAGGTTTCCTGAGCTGCTGGTGGCCACACTGATTGGTTTATTCATTTGAAAATCACAACTGGGCAAATGTTAACGGCAGGGAACAAGGCACCCGGGGAGGGCAAGGCTGGCTCCAAGGGGTGGAGCATCCTCACCCCTGCAACAAAATGAACCCATCTGATTTTTCGAGGGGGGCAGCCCCTGTGGGCCGTAGCCCAGGCCTCATCTCCCCGCCTTCTGTGGCAGTGCCCTCGCCAGCCTCCCGACTCATCTGCTCTCACCTTTTACTCCCATTGGCCTCTTTCTATCTGACCGTCCATCCTTGAGCATGTCCCTGACGAGGGATATTCCCGCCCCCATGCGATCCCCTCGTCCCTGTGGTCTGCGGCGCTTTCTCAGACTCTCGTCCTGTCTTCGGGAGACAGGGCGAGCCCTCAGAAGTCTGCCCCCCGCCCCCGGCAGTCGTGGGGCTCCTTCCCACAACCCCACAGTGGCACTTGCCTCCCTGCAATCCCACCGGTGTCAGTAGAAGCACCACGGGGCTGGGCCTGGCTTGCTCGCCACAGGGCCCAGAAGAGCCCCTGCCCACGAGCTCACACCCACCAGCCCTGACAGTGTCCAGGCCGACAGGCTCAGCGAAGGGAGAGGCACCAGCCGTCCCCACCCCCCCCCCCCGGCTGTCTTGAGGTGAGCCGTGGCCTCTGACTGTGACAGATGCCTCAGGAAGCAGGCAGTGAGGGGGAGGGACACTAGATTTGGAAGAGGACACCTGGGTTCCATCCAAAGGCAGTCATCCGACTAGCTGGACAGGCCTCAGCTCACCCCTCTGCGAAGTCTACTTCCTCAGGCTATAAAGAGAATTAAATGACACTAAGAGCGAGTCTCAGGGGGTTTTTGTAAACTGTAAAGTGCCACACGGAGGCCAGCACCGATCTAACTGTCCATGAGACCCACACGTTCGTACAAAACAGAGGGGCGAAAACTCCAGATACGGTCAGGCCAGCATCTTGGTGAATCACACAGACCTGGGTTCAAATGCTACCTCTGCCATGGCTGGCTCTGTGGCCTCAGGCAAGTCTCCTGCCCTTTCTGAGCCTCCCGGTCCTCAAGTGTGGAACAGAGACCACGTGCAGACTCGCCTTGCAGGCTTGTCGAGAAGCACGTTGAGACAGGGCAGGTAATGCGTTCAGAGCGCGCCCCGGCTGGCATCCGGTGAGGCCCCCTCTCCTGAGCCCCGATCAGGCTGTGACTGGGGTGGTTCTGGCTTCTGCCTGGAAAGCTAATCCCGAGTACACGGGCTGGGGATGGGCAGGCGGCCAGAATTTTTAATTAGCTCCTGCCCGGAGATGAGGCTGTTGTTGCCGCGCGGTTGGCAGTGTGGTGCCTGCACGAGGCGGGGTGACCAGGAGGCCTCCCTCGGCCTCGGAAGGAGCTGCCCGTCTCCCGGAGCCCGGTGCCTCCCCACGGGCCCAGCGCCCCCGCCTCCACGGCAACCAGCAGAGCCTCGCCTCGGCCGGCAGGAGCCTTCTGACGCTGGCCCCTCCTGGCCGCTCCTGCGCGAGGCGCTCAGATGCCTTCCAGCATCCACGCTGTTAGCTGGGCCCCAGAGCCGGGAAGCTTCCCCCTCTCTCTGGCCACGTCGACTGTCTTTAAGTTCCCCGAGACCTTTAGGTCTTGGCTCTCTGGTCCCTCTGCCTCCCCTCCCTCTCTTGCCAAAGGTGTTCCTCAGCCTTTAGGTTTTAAACACTCCTTTCTGGGGCGCCTGGGTGGCTCAGTCGGTGAAGCGTCTGCCTTCGGCTCAGGTCGTGATCCCAGGGTCCTGGGATCGAGTCCCGCATCCGGCTCCCTGCTCAGCCGGCGGTCTTCTCTTCCCTGTCCCCGCTGTTCATGCTCCCTCCCTCTCTCTCAAATAAATAAATAAAATCTTAAAAAATAATAAGCACCTCTTTCTGCCAGGTGAGGCATTTGTCCCCCAGAGTGTGCCAGGGGCTCTGTCCCGTCGGTCAGTGCATGAACCATACTTGAGTCAAACTGAATGTTCGCCATCCGTCTCCCCACGAGGCCCTCAGTCCCAGGCAGGCAGGGCCGCCGTCCACCTCTCCACACCGCCTGGCTAACCAGAGGTGGCTGACAAGGGTGTGTTTGTCGGCCAAGGGCCGCCTTGTGCCACCTGAGGGCCACGCACTTATCCCCTAGTCACCTCCCTGAATCCTTGCTACAGTCTCGTGAAGGAGGGTTCCTTGCTGAAGAAATTGAGGCCCGGAGAGGGGCAGGGGCAGAGGGGGACCAGACATCTGGTCTGGCTGGCACTTGCTCAGGACCACCCCCAGCAGTCAGCTCCGCAGCCGGGGACCCTGGCACCCTGGCACCTGGCACCGTGTCCCTGAGCCAGGCACTGCATCCGTGGGCGAGGCCTCGTGGCGGTCTCTACCATTTCCGGTCTGTGCGGGCAGATGAGTGGCGTGATGTGGGTCTCGGAGGCATTTGCCGCGTTTCCTTGGGGAGGGTGGGGACGAGGTGCTGAGTGGCCTCCTGCCAATCTGCCATTCTCTGCCCTGGTGGGGTCTGTGGGGTGGGAGCCGCCCATCCCCGGCCCTGACAGACTCCTTTCCTCACAGAAAAGGATGCAGGCTCCTCAGAAGCACTCGGACCCGAGCGCCCACAGCCAGCAGCAGCCTCCGGACGAATCCGTCTACACAGTGAGTCTCGGGGCCTACGCTCCCTCTGCCTCTCTGAGGTCTGGCGCAGGGCCCGGTTCCCTGGCTGGGTCAGGTACCAGCCGTGTTCCTTGTCTGCAAACTGGGGACGAGAATTTCCACCTGGTGGAATTTCTGTGAAGATGAACATGTGCGTGGCCCCTGGCCCCCGGGCGGCAGGTAGCTGTGAGGTGCCCCCGGGCCCCCCCTCCTCCCCAGCTCACCCCTCCACTTCTGGAACAAGGGGCAGCAAGGCATGAAGAAAGTTCCTTCATCCGACCGAATGACGTTGACCAGCTCACCAACCCCTTCCTGTTTGGATTACACAAGCGACATCCCAGCAACAACAAGAAATCGCAGAGAAAGGAAAGGGTCAGGCACCATCATAAGTCCTAACACATTCACCGCTTCTCAGTTCTTCACACCTCCCCCACCCCACACGCAGACCTTGTTTTCTATCCTTAAACTCAAACAGAGACAGGGCCCGGCCCGGGATGTCGTGTCATAAGCATTTCCTGTCGCTGCACCTGTCTCCGTGTTTACCTGGGGGAGGCTCAGCCCGGTGCCCTGGGTGTGAGCCCGCCCACCAGCCAGCACGCAGGCCCCCTGCCCTCGCCCAGTGGCTGCGAGGGTGATGAACATTTTTTTTCAGTTCTGTGTGTTTTAGTTCCGCAAGGAGCATATGCTCATTGTAGAGAAAGTGAAGAATAAATACCACCCAGTGTCAGCTGGGGTCTTAACTCTGTGAGCTCTAGAGCCACCAGGTTAGGATCTTGGCTCCGCACCTGGCAGGTGCGAAGCCTTGCCGGGGACCTGCGGGTTCTCCCGGGGGCGCGTTCGAGGGCTGCCCCTGCACGAGGGTTCTGCCTGTCCGTGCTGTCACCATTCCTGTCGCCACCACCCAGACACACACGAAATTCGAGTCCCCACCGAGGGTATTCGGAATATGACCCTGTTTACTGAGGGTAGGGACCGATGGGGTTGAGGCAAAGCGGATGTCGCCACAGAACCAGCAACTCCAAACAGAACGCAACACGGCCAGCCCTCGGACAGCCTTCCCCTCCAGCCTGGGGGTTTCCACCAGCCACTGCTTCCCACGTGGCCTCAGATTTCCCCATATTCTCTCTTCTCTCCCAGAAACTCATGGTATTTTCCCTGTGAGGAATTCTGGTGTCAGCTGTTGAATAAAAACATTTCTCTCTCTCCACACACACACACACACACACACACACACACGCACACACACGTGAGATCTCTCCCTCTCTCTATATATATACACCTACACACACACATATATAATATATATGATATAGATAGACATATCTATAGATCTATAGATCTATATACTATATAAATACATATACATATATGTATGCATATATATAAAGAAAATAACCATCATCCAGGCCTATCTTCCAGGATAAATACTAGTAACATTGTCTTCTATAGCTTCCAGTCTTTTTTCTATAAATACACACAAAAAGACCCCTACACACACTCACACGCACTTTTTTTTTTGAGTAATACAGCTATTTTTGTTCATGTTACAGTATCTCAAGAACATCTTTCTACACGAATAAATATCCTTCTACAAGCGCACTTTCAGTGGAAGAGACTCACTCCTTCCTGCACGGGACGTCTTTCCTGCCTGTGTTTAGACTTCTCTGAGGTTCAGGCAGACTTCTCTGGAGTGTGGGGAAGAGGCTCAACTGCCTCGCCGAGTTGCAGGGCGGCTTTAAGAGATTTCAGAACAGAAAGGAGGCGTGAAGGGAGGTAGATAAGAATGGCATTAACAACAGGGATAATGACGTCAGGAGCCTTTGTCGAGTGCCTACGATGTGCCAGGCACTGCAGTAGGAGTCTACACCTGCTATCTCACTGGTCCTCGTATTAGGGATTGAGGATACAGGTGATGTCCCCAGTTCACTTGTATTTTCTGATTGCCTATTGCTGGTATGTAGACATATGATTGGTTTTTGTATATCAACTTTATATCCAGTGACTTTGTTGAATTCGTTCATTAATCCTAATAGGTCTCTGCAAATCCCTTTGGATTTTCTGTGAACTCAGTCTATTCATGTCACACGCATGAATAATGGAAGTCTCATTGCTTCTTTTTCCTGTCCTCATACTTTCAGTTCCTTTTTCTTCCTTTCTCTCACTGCCTCAGACCTCCAGTGGGATGGTGAGTGGGAAGGGTGACAGTGGGCATCCTTGTCTTGTTCCCAGTCTCCGGAAAAGGATTTTTGTACATTCCTCCTCTACTTTCTTTGGATGGATACTTGGGTCATTGATTTTCAATCTGTCTTCTATTCGAATCTATGCACTAAAGTCTATGAGCTTCCCTTTAAGTATGGCTTTAGCTGCATCCCACAAGTTTTGATATATCGTCTTTTCACTATCTTTCAGTTTAAACTTTCTGTTGAGAATTCCTCCTTGCCCCATGGGTTGTTTAAAAGTACTTTGCTTCATTTTCAAATGTTTAATTACTTTTTAGTCATTGTTCTTTCTTATTTCTTGCTAATTCCGCTGTGATCAGAAAATATATTCAGTATGATTTTAATCCTCTGAAGTCTTGAAACTTGCTTTGTGGCTCAGCTTGTATTCCGTGTGCACTTGCAAAGAATTTGCATTGTGCATGGCTGACTAAGTGTTCTATATATGTCAATTAGGTCAAGTTTTTTTTTCTTTAAGATTTTCTTTATTTGAGAGAGAGAGAGAGAGAGAGAGAGAGAGCACGAGCAGTGGGGAGGGGCCAGAGGGAGAGGGAGAAGCAGACTATGCTGAGCAGGGAGCTGGTGCAGGGCTTGATCCCAGGACTCTTAGATCATGACCTGAGCCAAAGGCAGACACTTAACCCACTGAGCCACCCAGGCACCCACCAATTAGGTCAAGTTTGTTCATCATGTTGTTTAAAATATTTCATTAACCTTATTGATTTTTTTTTTTTGTCTATCAGATGTTAAGAGAAGTGAGTTAAATCTGTCCGAATGATTGTAGATTTGTTTATTTCTCCTTTTAATTATATCAAATTTTACTTCTTATTCATGTGGGAAAATGTTCATGACATATTGTGACATGAAAAAAAAAGCTGTGCCAATCCAATTTGTTTTTTAAAAGTGATCTATTAAGGGGCATGGATTTGGAGTGGGTCAGACAGACTGGGGTTCAAAGCCTAGTTCTTTTGCTCATGGGTTCTGCTACTTAAACTTCCTGAGTCTTTGTTCCATAATTTGTAAAATAGGGCTTAACAGTAGAATATTGCATTTACAACTTGCAAACATGCTACAATTTCTTCCATCCTGTATTTCTTGAGCTCGCATCCCTCTCTGGCGACCCTGTCCTTTCTCCACGACTCATACCAGAAATGTCACAGCTGTCTTCCGTTTTCCTCTCTCCTTTCTGACCCACTCAGTCAGGCTTTCTGCCCATGTATTCATCAGAATCTTCTTTCTCAAGGTCACCATCGACCTCCACATTGTTAAATCCAACGGTCAGTTCCGGGCCCTCAACTCCTTTGATGAATCAGCAGCATCTGACACTATCAAGCTCCCTCTCCTCCTTGACACACTTTCTTTACTTGCTCCTGGAACATTCCACACCCTCCTGATGCCCCTGCCCCCGATTCACTACTAGGCCTCCTTAGCTTCCTTCCCCTGGTTCTTCCTTAGGAACCAGTGGAACTCTGACCTCTGAACATCAGAGTCCAGTCCTGGGGCCCTCCTTCTTTGATCTTTGATCTTCATCCCCTCCCTGGAGAATCTCGTTCAACCGCAAGGCTTGAGAACATCTACATTCTGAGAACGCCCACATTTCTGTCTCTAGCCAGACACGTCCTCTGAACACCAGAGTCATTCCATTCGAGTCACTGCCTTCTCTCTCAGACCAGCCTCTAACTCTTTACCAACCCAGGGGCCTCTACTCATAGTCCTCTTTGCAGGGACTGACTGCCCCGTCCTTCTAGCTGCTCAGGCTGAGCATCTGAAGTTGTCTTTTCCTTCCCTCCATCCCTGCTCATATCTGACCTGTCAGCACATCTTGTTTCAAAGCATGTCCTTCCCCACACCTTCACACCCCTCCAGTGCTGATGCTGGTGGGAGCCACCACCATTTCCTGCCTGGTGTCCTGCAGTTGGTTTCTGGTCAGCTGGCTATTTTTTTTTTTTTTTTTTTTTACAATTTACTTATTTATTTATTTGAGAGAGAGAGAGAGAGCGCGAGTGCAGGGAGGGGCAGAGGGAGAGAGGGGCAACTTTAGCCGACTCTGTGCTGAACATGGAGCCCAATGAGGGGTTCAATTTCACAACCCTGAGACCAGGACCTGAGCCAAAACCAAGAGTCAGATGCTTAACTGACTGAGCCACCCAGGCGTCCCCCCAGCCGGCTTATTATTATCCTTGCCCTTGGGCAGCAGGCAGAGTGACTTTGCTCAAGCACAGATTCCGTTCATTCTGCTCAGAGCCCTTGCTGAGTCCTGGTCCTCCAAGAAGCAGCCACTAAGCTGGAGTGAGCCCGAAATTGTCTTATTAGGGAAAGCACTTAGGAGGGAAAATGGGGAAGGCTGGGCGAGCAGTCAGACCAAAGCAGAGCTGGTCCTGAGTGAGGGAGCCTCGATGCCACGCAGTCTAGGGAAGGCTCAGCAAGGCCCAGGAGTGCCCACGGCAGAGAAGTCTTCTGTCTCCCGGGGTGGGAGGCTGTGCTGGCATCCCCGCTGTGCACAGGGCCTCTGGCCTCCATGCACCCATGATGGTGGGTTCCAGAGCCCAGCAGCTGGGACCCTTGGTCAGTCCTGGTCCCTGGAGCTGGAGCTCCATGAAGCACATTCTCACAGCTGCTGTGGGCCTCTGAAGGTCCCCGCCTCACTTAGAGTCAACGTCAGAGCCTCCACAGAGCCTCCCCGAGCTCCCCACACCCCAGCCCCATCTCCTCCTGTCATTCGCTGGCTTCCTTGCTGCTCCCCAAACAGCAGGCATGCCGTCGCCGTGGGGCCTTGGTGTTGGCCGTGTCCTCTGCTGTTTGCAGCTGTCCACGGGCCGCTCCCTCACTCCTCAAGCTCTGCTCCTTCGGCACCTTCACAGGGAGGTCTTCCCTGAGCTCCCCTCTAAAATTGCAAGCTTCGCACCCCCTCCGTGGCCCCAACCTCCCAATCTTCCTTCTCGTGTCCCTCCATGGCCCTTATGGCCACCTCTTACTTTCGTGATTGTGCTTTGTCTCACACGGTAGGTGCTCAGCAGTCGAGGGCCCTATGGACAAGTGGAGGGCCCTTCTCACCTTCCAGATGCTTGGGTTTCCGTGCGGCTCCGTGCTGGGCTCAGGCTGGGCACCCCGGGGCACACCACGGCACACATGGGGCATCAGCTTTGTGGGGTCACTCTCCCTCAGTGGCACTTGGATGCCTCCCCTCAACTCTGCTCCAGCCTTGGCTGTCCTGCTACCCTCATTCCTGCTCACTGCGGCGGGGGGACCTCACTGACACACCGCCAGTGCGGTCGCTTCCCACTGAGGAGCCTCCAGGGGCTCCCCACTGCCGGCTCTCCAGCCTGGCACGAGCAGCCTTCACTGGACGGCTACCCCAGCCCTGTCTCCCAGACTCTGGCCCCCACCACGGGCGGCTCCCTTCAGACGTGCCAGGACCCTGCCCTACTTCTTCTCTGCCGAGTACTGCTCCTTTCCAAACAGCACCCCCAAATTGCACCCCTCCGCCCCCGGGGTGCCTTGTACAAGTCTCTATGTGTGGGTGCCCACGAGAGTGAGCTCTTGTGTTTCCTTGGTCACAGGGAGGGGGGTGGGTCTTACAGGGGGACCAATGTCTAGAACCCTCAGATTAGGTCTTGGCCCACAGCAGCTGACTGAAGCTTTGGCTTCAGCTGGGCTAGATGGAGGCTTTGCCGTTGACTTCACACCTCTGTCAGGGCTGACAGCCATTTGGGTCAGCGCTGTTCCCCATGGAGCGGCAGGAGGCAAAGGACTTGGAGGGCCTGGGTCCCAGACAAATAGGCCTAGCCCAGCCCAGCCCAGCCCAGCCAGCACAGCCCAGGCCAGCACAGCCCAGCCCAGCCCAGACCGGACCCCCCACCACCCCAGCCCACCGCCCAGCCCAGCCCAGCCCAGCCCAGAGTGTAGCCCAGCCCAGCCCAGCCCAGAGTGTAGCCCAGCCCAGCCCAGGCCAGCCCTGCCCAGGCCAGCCCAGCCCAGCCCAGCCCAGCCCAGCCCAGTCAGCACAGCCCAGGCCAGC